ACTTGACTTCGCATTCGTTGGCAGAGGCACCTAAAGGTATAGCTATATAGTCCCTGCGCTTCCAGTGCTGTTTGAAAGCGGGGTCACGTGCTGGCGCGATCCATGTGCCTGCCCCCATAGGGTGTGGCACAAAGGTGGCCGGCAGCCAGAGCTTAGATGCAAGTAAGAAGCGATGGAAAAAGGAGCCAGCCGTGTTAACTTGCTCCGCGTGTTGTGGGCCAATGGCCGCTGATGTTTGCGTGCCTACTGCAGCATTGGAGTCCATTAGGACAAGAGTAGGCGTAGGCTGCGGTAAAATATGGTCGTGCACATGTCTAAGGTGCTGCCACCATACGACCTGTTCGTGGAGAGGACGCCCTGAATGATGAGCATGTGCCACGAGGATGCTGAAACGTAGGCCGTTCTGACTGATGACTGCCGCAATAATGCGCGGGTCTTGGTGTACAATACGCACGCTGTGAGACTTAATAGGGAAAGTGGGAATGCCTTTGGCATTGGGAAAAACGGGCGTGGTAAGGTTGACCCATAGCGCACAGCCGCAGGCATGAGTTCCAGCTTGAGACTTTGACAAAAAGACTACGTACGGGGGAACCTGGCGCTTGCCAGAGCCCGTGTCTGTGACTCGCGTCTCTTGCATGCCGATAACGTCGAGCCCGTTGCGTTGAAAAGCGGCGGCCAGTTGGTGGAGGCGTCCTTTGACGGCCACGCCTGTAAGCCTGGCTCTTTGGGAGATGCGCGAGGCAGGAGTGAGAGAGAGAATGTTGGCTGAGGCTAGCCTGAGACAGCATGATGCCGTGGCGTCTGCGATCGGGGCTGCTTCTTTGAAGAGACCTGGAAAAACATCAGCAAGCGAGGTGCGCGGGGGGAGAGGAGGATTGAGGCTAACTTGATGGTTTGGCGGGTAAAGCGCACGCTGTTGTTGAGGCAGGCACTCAAGCCAGAGCCATTCCAAAATATGCGCATTGTCTTGGAGAAAGCTCATGAGGGGCGGGAGCACTGGCGGAGGTAGGAGTGCGAGGGAGTAAAGTCTGGCGACCGTGTCAACCATTTCGTTGAGCGGGTCGGCTTGGTGACCGTGCACGTGCTGCCATGTAAAGTGGCGTTTTAGGCCAAGTACCTTGCATAGACTGTCGAGGCGGCTTCTATGCTCCATTAGTGGCTCAGCCACTGTACCGCCTTTGGCGGTGGCGACAACATCCATGTTGTCTGAGTGAAAGGTGATAGGAACGGCGGGAGGGAGGGGGGACTGTAGAGCCCATAGCGCCGCCCAAGTGGCGGCATCGAATTCCGCTTTAGCGGAGACTCTATCTTCTCCCATAGTCTCCGGGGTGGGACACCCTAGGAAACCTAGAAAGTGTCGAGTGCCGTTAAGCCATGCAAAGACCAGAAAAGCCCACGCTGGTGGGCCAGCAAGATCTCCTTTGGAGGCCCCTCCGCTGGCGTCGGTATATATATCCGCGGAGTCAAAAGCCGCGTAGGGAGTATCAAAGACAAAGCTGTGCCATGTGGGGATGGAGGAGGAGTGGAGGGCTGGAAAGATGACATCGAAGTCCCTGACCAGCTGTATGGAGGTAGCCGTTAGCACCGGTAGCATCCACCTCATGGGCGGGAGTGGGCTGCGGCGAATACCTCGCCGCCCCCCCAGGTTCACCCGTGGGCAGTGTCCGGGGGAGCGACCTGAAAAACCGTGCCGTCGCGCGCTGCCTTGGCTAAATCGTCCTGAGCAGCTTGTGCCGCGTGGGCCTCGGCTTCAGCACGGAGGTCCGCAGCCTCTGCTTCTGCCATTGCATCTGCAGGGCTGCGTGGGGTAGACGAGGCGGATGCCCCTGCACGTGCCTTTGGCTCATCCTCGGCTGTCTCGGGCCTGGGGCGACGTGATCCACGAGGGCTCTTGCTGCGTGCTGCCTGCCTAGCTACAAAATCTTCCTCGCTGATGCCTGATAGCGCGCGCTGCTCGGCCTGACCCGCACGTGCGGGTCTGCCCCTGGCCTGCGCGCTTGCGCTGCGGCGGGAGGATGCCATGGAGACTGGCTCGCCTTTTTCATCGGAGAGGTCCCGCCCAATCTGGCTGGCAGAGCGGGTAGGTGGGGGCATGCCGCTGGGATCCTCTACTGAAGCTGATGCCGGGCTTTGCTGGTTGATGGCGTCTTCCCTAACTGAGCTATCTTGAAACGAGGGCGCAGTGGTGATCGCCTCCCCTGTCGGCGACTTGGGCACTGGCGCTGGCCCGGGTTTGGGCACGAAACCTAGGCGGAATAGCGGGCCTGCTTTGGGGGAAGCGCGGGCCTGTTCACATCCTAACGGCGCTGTGGTCCCCCCTCGGACCGTAGCGCCGTGGCTAGAGGTGGCGGCTGGCACTAATTGCCCGGCCTTGATCTGTGAGACTAGGGTTTCTACTGAGTTGCGCATGGCTTGGGCCTGGGAGTCAAAATTTGCCTTGATGGTGGCAACTTCCCTGGCCATGGCCTCGGCGTTGCTTTGCATGGCCGCAGAGAGTGATGTGATGTAAGGCTGTTCCAATCCTTGGATGCCTGGAAGGGGCGCTGGGCAATGGAGGAGTGGGGGAGAGGTCGGCGCTGCCGTGAGGGGCGTGGCCGTTCCCAGGTCATGTGGGTCGGCTTGCTCCTCACCTGTATGCGTTGCAGAGAGTGTCGCAGTGCGCTGTACTGCACCTGGCTCCTCCGCCGCGTCCCCCATCATGAGCGAGTCAGTGATGGCGGCGACTGGCGGTGCTTGCGACTTGAAATGAGCTAGTAGCATGGCAGCCTGGCTGAGGTCCGCTTGTGCGGTCTGAAGGGCCAGGGCAATGTTGCGCACGTGCTCCTCCGCCTGCGTTTGTTTGGCTGCCAATTGCTCACAATTGGCCTGCAGGGAGGCCACCGCGTGCTCTTGCTCGCTAATCTTGGCCAGCGGATCCCTCGCGTTGGCCAATTGAAAATTAACTAGTGAAATCTCCTTACGGATCTCGGTGATACGCATATCGGAGTGTCCTAGGAGAGTTGAGGCCCTAAGCTGCAGGATTAGTGCCTCCTTGCTCATTGCAAGGGCCTTGCGGTGCTCCAGCAGGCGGTCGGGCTCAAGCGGGGGGTAAAGCCAGGCTGAGTGAGAGTGCGCCTCGTCTGGGGTAAGGGTAGGGCACTGCGCTGTGAGCTCCGCCTCCGAGAGTTCGGTGGCGGGATCCAGCGCTCCAAGCGAGGCAGAGGCCTGTTCGGCCGCGAGGAAAGGGGACTGCTGTACAGAGGTAGGGCCGAAGAGTGTAGGGGGAGTGGCCACGCCGTCTTGAGGAGGCGCAAAAGGGGAAGGCAGTGACTGGGGAGACTGCCCTATGATGCCTGTGTCCTTGGCCCCGTGTGGGGTGCCAGGAGCCTTCAATGGAGGCTGCTCCCCGTCTCTGCGCTGGTACTCGCGAGCTCTACGAGCGTCGTCCTTCTCTCGCTTCTTGCGCTCCTTGTTGGAGATCCCAGCCTCTTGGACCGCATGATCTCCTGGTGGCGCGGGGAGCAGGCCGTATTCCGCTGCCCATGCAGCCACCTGGTCGAAGGACGGCGCACCTGTCGGTGCGGGGCCCTTGCCCTGGTGCATCCCCCCCGTGCTGCCTGAAAAGGAGCGAGGGCCCTTGTGGCCCGGCCCCGCGCCTCCATCATGCAGGGGCCTGTGCTGCCCCTGACCTTTGACTGGGCCGACCTTCGCTTGTTGGTGACCTGCGGCCCTAGTCGGAAAACAGTTGGGACATGAGGCATCCAAAGTGGTATTGGCCCGGCCACATTGCAGGCAATACCAAAACTCGGGCGGGGCGCTGCCTTTCTGGTGCACTGGCTGCTGGGGTGGAGGAAAAAAGTCCAAGGGCAGGCGCGTGGCATAAAGAGACGGTGAGGGAGGGGCAGCCAAGCGCTGGGTGGGAGAAGTAGCCATGCCATGCTGCTGCAGCCCAGATAGTGGCGCATGCTGAGGGGGTGAGGTAGGAGGAACAGCGCCTTGCTGGGGGATGCCCTGAAAGGAGTGGTGCTGTGAAAGCATCATCGCGGCCTTGTGCACCCTTAAAAGCGTGCGGGCGTTGGCGCGCTGCTTGCGCGCTCTACGATGAGGAGCGGGCTCGTCACGAGGCCGCTGGGGATAGGAAGGAGGAGAGTAGGCAGGCGTCGCGCCTGTCGGATGGCGGCCCGATAGGGCGTCGCGGCGGGGATCGGCGCGGAACCGGTTATGCAACCGCTCGAGCCAAACCTGGAGGAGGGAGGAGGGACGAGGGACGAGGGACGAGGGACGAGGGACGAGGGACGAGGGACGAGGGACGAGGGACGAGGGACGAGGGACGAGGGACGAGGGACGAGGGACGAGGGGAGGACGAGGGACGAGGAGGGACGAGGGACGAGGGACGAGGGACGAGGGACGAGGGACGAGGGGAGGGAGGAGGGGAGGAGGGAGGAGGAGGAGGAGGAGGAGGAGGAGGAGGAGGAGGAGGAGGAGGAGGAGGAGGAAGAGGAAGAGGAGGAGGAGGAGGAGGAGGAGGAGGAGGAGGAGGAGGACTTGGACAGGGGCGGCCGCTCGGGGCTCAAGAGGCGGGGGTCCACGCAAACGGGGGTCAGCCAGAGCGCTGGCTCTTGCAGAATCCTGCAGGGCCAGGGCTGCACTGACCTGGTTTGGGGTGCAGGGTCCTGCGGGATCTTGCGGGATCCTGCAAGGCCTGGCTGACCCGGGCTTGCATTGACCCGGGCCAGTAGATCCCCGAAAACCAGGACGACGGACAGCCCAAGAAACGGCACCTCCTGCAAAGTCCCATTTTCCAGCACCCGTGCATATGTTTTGTGTGCTACGCTGCCGGATTCGACTCTGAGTCCGGGTTTCAGGGGGGCTACTGCAAGCTTTTAGGGCCTGTGTCTGGGTGTAGTCTGGAAATGTTGCAGTCCAGTATTTTGTGCGTGCCGCCGTCTGGAAGAATTGGTTTTGAGGGATGTTGGGTGTCCAGCGTCTAGCGTGTCCGGGTGTACAGTGCCTTGCCCCAGGTGGCCGAGGCC